TGATATGGTTGTTGACAATAATGCGAATAAGAGAGTTTGAGAGACATCGCAATAAAAGCGAATTAAAAAGACAAACCGTGCTCACAGACAAGAAAACCATATGAATGCAACAATACTGACAACCAGGAAGCAAGCGTTTAAATTTCAAGATCAAAGGGATAAAGGAATGATGCAATAAAACGATGCCCGACAAATCAAATGAAAATTAATGAACTAGTTGTTTTCTATGTTGGTGACACAGTGCACCCAGCACACAATCACACTCCCACTCATTCTCTCGTTGAATCGGAATTTGTCAATATTTTCACAAAATCCATCACGCTGCTCACATTCTGCTCTTCAATAAGATGTGAACAATGTGATTGAGCAGCTACAGCAACACAGAAAAAAATGTAAAGCGAACAATGAAGCTGTCACGACACATCGTTTGAAAGGATAGGACAGAAAATAAAAATTGGATATTTCTTCACTTGTGTGCTGTTTGTCTAACTGCGCTGACCTTTTGAGACAAATAAATTCTGATTCACAGTCAGCTCAAATATGGTGCAGCTGCATCTTGATGATTGATTCGTTTTGATTGCGAAACAATTTTTGCATTGAAATACCATGTCAATTAGTGATTGAGCTTCGCTCTTTCCATTACTATGCAAAAAGAAAAAAAAATTGGAATTTCATCAGGTTTTCTAGCCAAAATGAAAAAAAAAAAAATGACTGAATGAAGATGACGATGATGGTTGGGGGGAAAGATTTCGAGACTACTTGAAATTTGATTAAACGATTGCTTCTTCTCTTTTTCCCGCTCTTAATTACCTTCGAAATGATTGATCAATTTGCCTGTTATCACACATTAATTGCGGTATTGAGCAAGACGAATATAAGCATTTAATTATTGTACATCAAATTAACATAGTTTATGGATCACAAAAATTCATCGTTGGAAATAAAGTAAAACACGCTTTATTAGTGTTTCTATCCAATTCACGTTTGCAGGTAATAATTTCAATTTGTGTTGTTGTTGTTGTTTTTTCGTTACTTTTATTACGGTTTTAAATTCGGTTTGGCTCGACTTGGCTCAGGCATCGGCCTCACTCGGTGACTGGCACGAATTTTCTATTGAAATATAGAAAACGTGAGCAGCAATCACATGAAAACTCATTTCAAGCACCCAATTTCATAAAGTTTTAACGACTTTTCATAAATTGATTGAATTGCCAGAGAATGTAATAAAAATGAGCACTTTTCCAGAATTGCCTCTCTCGTTCTCTTTCGCAAAACCGCAAAACTCAACTACCACTTAATCGATGGACATGGACATACATGTGTATGTGTGCTATATTATGAATCGGAAACATGTTGTTCTACAAATTCGATAGCTCAACCGCTGCTCGTTATTCTCGAATAATAATAGCTTAAGTCCGTTTCATAGCATCACACGCACTAGGTGCACAGTTTCATTGTTTCGTCTCTCTTCTTAGAAAGACCCACAAGATTAAAGATCTTTGTTAGTTAGCCACTTATGATGTTGGTTAAAGTGAAAACAATTAAATAATTTGTTCATTTTAGCGTATCACACGCATTGCCACAACCGTTCGATAATCGTTTTTTTTTCTTTTCATTTGATTTCTCAATGTAGGTGCGAGCGGGTGCGCGCTCGTCTGAACCCATAAATATTACCACATCTTAAAAATTGCGCATTTGTTCTATATTTTTTATTCGTTCTTCATTTCGTTTCATTTCGTCGGAATATTTCCATTCGAATGAGTGATATCATTAGTTCCCATTGTATAGGTTCGGGTTCGGATGGGTTTGCAATGGAAAATTGCATATATGATGGTTAGCCGGCATGAAAATGATGCATCCGACGAGACGAAATTGAGATGCTTCATTGTCTTTTCACATGGTGATATCAAAATACCATTGAAATGGCGGCAGCCATACAAAACATGGTAAACTAAAATGATAATACCACGACCGTGCTGCACATACACACATTTTATGTCAATATACCTACTTAAAATACTTTTTTTTTCTACTCGGCTTTGTTTATTCAATGTTCAATGTACGACATACTTATCACCAGCTCAAATATATTGTGTTGGTTTTTTTCCCCTCTTCTTCTTCTCTATTTCGTTTTTATTTGTGCTGTTTCATTCGTTCATTTGCGTTCTGCGGCGTAACGACGAACAAGAAAAACCGGAGAAAAACTGAAACAATGCATAAAAATGCAATTGTATTTTTGCTCTGCATGTTTGACGTATTTTCTCTAACTATTTATTATTTTTTCTGCGCCACATCTCCATTGTTCGCCCGTTTCAATGTGCACACCGGGCAATAGACTAGGTAATTGAAGAATGGCAAACACACGAAAACAGAAGAAAAAAACATCACATTCAAGACAACACCGCGATGAATTTGAAATATGAAGTAAAAAAAAATGCAAGAAAAATATTTTATGACCATAACAAATAGAGTAAACATTCACAAACAAAAGATGTGCGCATTGAAATTTCAGCCGTGCTTTTTATGTGGCATTGAATTGCGTCTTTTATATGTAAATGTATTTCAAACCGAAAGAAAATTATAAATATATTCGCAGTACGCACACGCACACGCACACGCACACGCACAATAAATAGCATTTTTAATTAATTTCTTTCGTTTTTGTTAAATAGAAAAATCATTTTTCGAGTTTTTACACGATAAAGAAACACTTTCGACTTTTTGTTTTTTTGTTGCTGAAATCGAATACTCTCCCATCGGAAGTTCACGGGGGAAGATGGCGGCTTGCGATGACCAATGGAGCGAATATTAAATGACTCTCACTCACGATTTGAATCAATAACAAAAATCTTCTAGCGGAAAATGATTCAATTCCTCCTTTTTTTTGCAGCAATTGTGCTGTGCAGTTCTCTCTTTTTGCGTCTTTTTTCAGCGAAACTTTTTTCCTAATGGAAAGGAAACACAATATGCTGTATGATAAAGAGAATGAGAGGCAGACAGAGAGAGACACAGAGAGAGGTGGTTTCTTTTGTGATGGCTCGCATAACCATCACCGAAGTCATTCAGTCAATTTTCTTCGTTCTGGCTTCCCAAATTTAATATTGCTGTGTGTTGAATTTAACTTTTTATTCCGCCGCTGTGCCTTACATAACTATACTAACTTCTCATTCTACAAAATTTGCACTTTTTCCGCATAAATTTTATTTAATTTCTTTCGTGTGTTTTTCTTTCCCTCTTTCTCCTTTTCTCTCGTTCTCCTTCCATTCAGCAGTCGCAGTTTTTCTCCCATATTCTTTTGCCGTTTGCTCTACGCATAAAATTGTTTTTGAATTTTCTGGAAAAAGTTTTTTTTTCTCGCCGGGCGAGAAAAGTCAAACTATTACAATGCTTTTGTTACATTTGGTCCGGGTGTAAAAGTCAAAATAATGAAGAACAATCCCGTGTAACATTCATATTTCCTATGCTAATGAGAAAAGTAAGGCCCGTGTCTGCGGTTAATTTGAACCATTATTTGAAGTCGAAAATGATGTCGTAAGTGAAATGCGCTGTCCAGCAATCGTTCACGGTTTTCATACCTCTTTTGTTACGGTTTGTTTTTTTTTTCTTTTCCGTTGTCTACAATAACTTTTGGCCAAGCAGGTACCAAACATTTACATACTAAATTACTGAATGCATAATGCAACGAAAAGAGATAGAAGAAACTTAGCTAACGGATCACGGTAAACCGAACAAAAGTGTAAAAAGACTATATGGAAACAAGGAAGACGAACAAAGATTAATTATTATTAATTGCATATTCTTCCAAAATGAGAATGAGCAAAACAAGCTTTTTTACAATCGCCGAATGGAAAAAACTTGCGATCAATTTCTGTGCAAAAACAAACACGCTCATAAGTCATCGTACGATTTGTATCGCCATTTGCACAACTGGTCATGTTCTCGGGAGTAAGATACTATCCTTTGCATGAATAATAAGAATACATAGCCAACAATTTAATGCAATTTTTTTCTCTCGACGAAATGTAGATCTGCATCAAATTTAATCATTTTTTCTTCTCACCAATCCTCACTTACTACTGGTTGAATTATTTAAAAAAATCTTCTTTTTAGTTTATTTTCAGATATATTTTTTTCTTCAACGGTTAGAATTTTGCAAATTGCTTAAAGATAGTAAAAAGTCTGCGATTATTGGTTGGTAATGTGTTGTTGTTATTATATTGTGAACAACCGATCCGCTGTGTTAATAACGAAAGTCTATGAGTTGTCACAGTGGATAGAGAGATAGAGAGATAGAGAGACAGGCAGACAGACAGACAGACAGTAGAAGTGGTTTGTTTTTAATGCACTCACCTAAATCGGGTTGTTCAGGGTTATAATAATATGCACCTTTAGCGGGTGGAGGTGGTGGTGGTGGTACTGTGTTTTCGCATTCTACACACATGTCAATTACAGGTACAAACACAAAATGTATATAGAAAAAAAGAGAATAATATATATCGCTGATTAACGGAACAATATTCAAAATGATTCAATGCCAATAAATATGAACGAACGGATAATAAGTTCGTTGTTGCGTGTTAGGCGTAGCGTCGTTATGGTTAATATTTCGGCAGGCGCAATTGATAAAAAAGCCGTATTTTTTCTTCTTTCCAACGGATGAGGGAAGATAATGGCAAATTTTATTTCTGTTGTCCATATAAAAAAAAACAGGGCGGAGGGGGGTAGGCAATGAAAATGCATGCAATTGAATAAGGTGTTATATTTTTTTACCACTCTCAAAAGTCCACGATAAAAAAGCTGTCATTGAGCTAATGAAAAGCCAAATGATTTCAAGAAATTCCCACTCAATCTTGTTTCAATATTTATTCCCATATCACTACTCTGTTTTTTTTTCTAAACTGAAAGACGATCGTCAAATACTCATCAAAAAAAAATGTGTGTCTACATTTGTGATCGGTGCACTGGAAATTGATTAGTTTATCTGTAAATAGTCATCTAACCTTCACTTTTTACCGATGCTTTTGCATTTTTACGGCTTCCAACGCTCTGCTGTTTCAAACGGCGCCACAAGTATTCAGCTTCGATGCGCTTATCAACCGGTACATAACGATGTGTCGGTCGATGCTTCATGGGATCGTAATTTTGATCGGCGAATATATCGTACAACGGTTTTAGCATTTCATTTACATTTTGTGATCGAAGTGGTGACGTTGATCTCGAGCGTGAAACTGGTTTTCGTTTGATCTCTTGACTGGCCGGACCCTTTTCAGGTTCGGTTGCCGAACGTGCGTTATCATTTGGTTTCGAATATTTATGCGCAATCCATGTGGACGACAGATAGTTGGAGATATCTTTGAGTTCGCTGATATCCGGCGTTGAGGTATACATTTGGCCAATCAATGAGAGCCGATCGGGAGATGTTTGTGTTTCGAATTTGTGACGAATTTTGTCCACCTCACTGGTCGACACTTCAACAGTTTGTGATGGTTTCGGTGTTGAACTACGGCTTATTGCCTCTTTCAGCGCGATCGTCTTACTGATGATGTCAATATGTGGCATCAAACGGTCTTCTTTCTTGAATGTAACACGTTGAATTGGCGACGATACGCGTCTGGTGCGTGTTCGACCGCGCGATGCTGTCGCCAATGCAGCTTCCTTTTTCAATTCAAATTTGTGCGTGATGAAAGATACATCGCCGGCTTCACTGCTTTTCACTACGATCTTTGACGGGCCCTGGTTACGGAATACGGTTTCATTGAGCGTTGGATCGCTCTTGAATCGACGCGGTGGCACCGCAAAAATCGGACGAGAACGAGGCGGCTTCAATGTCGAACTTTCGTACAAAAATTTTCCATCGTCAACGAATGCGGTCTTTTTCAAAGTTGAGCGCGTTGAGTTACAAATGGGTGAAATGCTGCGGCTCCGAAAGTAACTCTCGATGCTCGCAGCATCCCACTCGTTTTTTGACTGTTCCGTATTTGCTGGCGATGGCGAACGAAATTCAATAAGATTTCGAACGCTTTCCTTTTCGCCAAAAATCTCCTTTAAATCTGACTCCGATGTACTAAAGCCATTGCCGCAGAGATGACTTCGTGCTGATTGCTTTTGCACCGCGCGTCGTGCTTTGATCTTTTCCTCAACCATGCGAATCACCTCCTCTTCATCGAGCGATGAATCATCGCGGGGTAGATAGATGGTTTTCGGAGCTTCTTCATTTCTTTTCTTTTCAAAATATTCAATTTTATGCTTAATTTTTTCGGCGGGCGGTTCAATTGTTATTTCAGCCCTTGGAATGTTTTTTTCAAATGGCCGTTTCTCAATGTAAGGTGGAGGTCTATCATTTTTTCTATCAACCTTATTGTATTTCGCCTGAGTTTTTACTTCACTGGTCAGCTTCGACTGCAACGATTTATTGCCAGTTGATTTTTGTTCGCTGTGATGAACCGTAACCACGGTATCATTCGCAGAACCACCACCGGAAATGTTTGTCTTTTCAGCGGCAATTGCTCCGCGTGTTTCACGTGGCTCTAGTACTTTTTCACGACGTTCTTTCAGTTTGTCACGTATTTCATTGCCCAATTGTTGTAGCAATTTTCGCTTTTCTTCTTCCGTGTATGCTTGTCGTCTAACAACCGAATCATAGCGATCAACGCTCCTTGTCACACGTGTCTCATGCACTGCACCGATTGAATCGGCTTTGATGCTATTTTTCAAACGGTTCTCTTGGCGTTGCAAAACTGGCTTCAGCAATTCTTTTTCGCCAACCAACGAATTGCTGCGAACGAGCAATGAAGTTGGTCTAATGTTTCGCTCTTCACTCACATTGATTATATATTCATCGGACGGTGGATGGGAAGTTTTGTGAATCGTTCTCGTCGTATTGCTGTAGATTTCGGTGAGTTGATTTTTGATTTTGCTCACTTGATCCTTCGACAGTGTGCTTATCAAATTACGACTGATGCCAAGACGTTCTTCGGCCGCATTCTGGCTGGCCAGCTTGCCGGTTGAATTGTATTTAACAGTCATATTTGACGCCAAATCAAGCACTGAGTTTCCCTTCCACAACGATCGATACTGATCTTTAAGCCTTTGTCTTGCTTCATCCAATTCATTTTGCAATGACTTTTCAATGAAAATGCTTTTCAAATCTTCCACCGATTTCTCCTTCACACGCAATCCACTCTCGTTTCGTCGGTCCCATTTGATATCTTCCGGATATTTTGGACGATATAGAAAATCCTTTTCTCGTTCATCCTTCTTCAATTTGCTCAACAGTGAATGCAGCTCTCTTTCTGCGCGCTCATAATTTCGAACCTTTTTCCATACGTCAAAATCGATGAGTTCGTTCTCCTTTCGAATTGGATGCAGGTCAGTGTTCGACGTGGTGCGTTCCAATTCACCAACACGCTCAACCTTTGAATAAAAACGATTTAAATCTTTGAATTTCTCCGATTGGCTTGAATCCAAATGGCTTTCATAGCTGTCCTCATCGTGCAATGAATGGCGTCGTGTCAATCGCAAATCCAGCGAATGGTATCGACGATGAGAATCAGCACTTTGTGCCCGACTATGTGGATCAGCTTTGGCACGGAAGCTTTGAATTCGACGGCTCGATGGTGATCGAATTTCGCGGGTCGGTGAAAATGGTCGTTGTTGTTGTTGCTGCTGTTTGCTTATTGTTGGCGGTTCGTTTGACTTTGTGTCGCTGGTCTTAACGCTGTGGACATAAGTGATCGGACGCGGTTCGCTCTTACTGCGCTCTTGATAGTGATAATCGAAACCAAACTCTTCTCCATCATCATTGTCGGAAAGCTGATAAAACGAATTATACTTGCTGATTCGGTCAAAGTAAATGGTTTTGGGTGGTGAACGTCGTGGGCTTAAGCTACGAGTTTGTCGTAAATGCTGCACTCGGTCCAATTCCTTGAATTTTGATCCGCTAACCGGTCGTTTCTGAGTCAGATAAATGCTTGGTGATTTTTTCTTAGCACTATTGGCTCGTCGCGGAATCGTATTCCAAAATTGTGCTTTTTCTTGGACGGCAGTGTTTTGATACAAGGTTTCATCTCTTGCGGTCGCCACATTGGTGGCAATGTTGCGCAGAAATAAGTTCTGAAAAAATTTATCCGATTTTGTACCGATTTGTTCGTGCTTTTCATTTCGCACACTTTTTTTGTTGCCATCTTTAACGACAAAAAAGCTGCTGCTACGTTCGTAGCCATTGCGTGTTGGGCTAGTTGTTCGTTTGCTAACTTCAATGCGTTCAACTTTCTCTTCGGGCACTGATTTTGTGATGGGCGCTGCTTTCGTTTCGATTTTCTTTTTCCTCGGTTTATTGGTGATCGTAACTGGTGGTGCGATCGTTTTTGGTGCCGATTTTATGGTGTAGGGTCGATTTCGAATGCGACGCTTCGAGCTGCTCGAGTCAATCGAATAGGTTGAGTTTGTACGTGCCAAACTGATATTCGACGATGTTTTGATGGTTTGTTTCGAGCGTGGATTGAGTTTGGTTTCGGTGCTCACCGATGATTTCGATAAATTCGATCTGACAACAACCGGTACTACGGCGATACGGCCCTTCGGTTTCGCTTCAATGGTTGTCATTCGAATAGTTTTCTCATCATTTTTCACTGAATCCTTCAGTAGTTTATCTTTTGCGTAAGTAACCGCCGATGTTTTGATTGTATTTCCTGAAAGCGTTTGCCTTGTCGACGTTCTGGTCGTAAGGCGTTCTCTGGTTTGTGGACTTTGATAAGTGGTTCGAACCGCTTCGCGAACATCTCTCGGTGAGCTGATGAATGGATCGCGCAGAATATTCGTGCTGGCCGTCCAGGCGCGTCTACACAATGGCAACCGTTCCTCTTGTTTTTTCTTCTCTTCGGCAAAGGTTCGCTCCTTCGAAATGCTTCGCCCGAATGCAATCGGACTGGAATTCGATTTGCGTGTTTCAATCTTTCGCCCGATCGGGCTAAGCGAACCGACCCGTTGTAATTGTGACCTTCCAGTGCGCGAACTATTTGCATAGTTTTTCTCGTCTTTGAGTGAGGTGAATGATGTCGTAATACTACTTGCAGAACGACTTCGAACCGAAGCCGGCAAGCGATTCTGATTGCGTACGGTAATTGTCTCTGGATCAGCTGCCTTTTTTCCAGCATTTTCACTGTGTCCATTGATCTGCCGTGAATCAGCATATTCTTTCAACGCCGAGCTATCTTTCGACGAAATGCGTCGTGGTGGATTCGGTGGACTGCCTGGCACAAATGTTTGCGTTTGCTTTGGGAATGGTGCAAACAAATCGATCGGTTTGGTTACATTTGTTATCGGATAACAAAGGATTTCATTCTGAATAGGCGGCAGGGTTTTACTGTGCACACGAATTTTGGTTAGCGTCGAAGTTATTGGCAAATATTCAATGTCAATTTGATCTGCGGCCAACGCAAATTATGCGAAATGAAACGAAAAAGAAAAAAGAAAAAAAACAACAAATTCAAAATTGACGATTGATGTTGTGATCGAATTTGTGTCGATACCGTTAATAATTGCATGGTGATGCGACGTGAATACACACGTGACATTGTGTAGATTGTCCATAATTGCGAGGCACACGGTGAGTAAAAAAATTGAGATCCTTCGGCCGAATAATTGCAGCACACGGTGATTTTGTGTCGTAGTATTTTGACAAAAAAAAAATTATATTGGATGAACACACGTTTGCTGGTGCACTTGACTTTTAATAGGTACATTTTGGTTTTGGCAACTACAAAAATCGTGGCGTTAAATTGGAAAATTTGATTGCAGTGGAAAAGTATCAAACAATTTAGTTTGGATTAGATCACACCATTGAAATGTGATGTAAATTGATTAAGTCGATGAAATGATTTTAATTTGTACAATAAATGTGGAAAAAAAAGTCCCCAAGTGAAATTAGATAACCATCACCGGAAAATCAAAACTAAAAAATAGTGGTAAGCAAATTTTGTCACTGAAACAAAGTTAATGGAAAAAAAGTCCCTCAGCCCAACGTTATACCAGCTTGCTAGTCGAGAAGCATAGAAAAACCCATTTTTAATAGAGAAAAAGTCCTTTTTTCAAAAAAAGTATATCTAGATCAGTTGATTGGCAAAAATTAATAATCCCGCTATAGCGCATTTCACCCAGATTGAATTCAAACCAAAAAAAAGAATGTCGCCCATGGCAGTATGTTAGTGAGTTGAATTATTTTTTTATTGCTCATATTAGATTAGAAGAAATTGCTGAAAAACTCAAAGTATTTCTTCTTTCAATTGTGGTAAAGACTTACCTCGTGGTTTTTCAGGTGCTGGTTTTCTAAATCCTTGAAGTGGTGCTTCGCCGCCAGCTTGCAGATTAAGGTAGGCTTGTTTTTGTTCGACTGGACTAAGTGGTGCAATTTGAGAACTGTCCTTTTTACGAAACACCAATGTTGAATCACTTTCATAGCCTTGATCCTTAAGCGCTCTGTGTCAATTTCGAATGAAATGTAAGAAAACAGTAACGATTTAACGAAACAACAAACGAATAAAAAAAACCAGTCACATTTATACACACCTCGATAGATTTCCTTCACAAACTTTATTAATCTCATTTCTGGTCTTGATTTGTTCCTGTCGATGAGAAAATCAATCATTTAGATAATTACATTTCACCGAAAGAGAATGGGATGAGGAAAATGAAAAATGCTTCCAAGCATTCCGATTCGATGTTAAATTCCAGATTTCGAAAGAAATCTACATTGATTGCAGTTGATGAATGCAATAGCAAATAGAAATGCCATCGAACCAGATGCTTAGCTGGCATCGAATGCGATACTCAACACAGGAATTAACTATATATATGTTCCTGTTCGCAATTCAAGGTGCTGAATGAAAGACGATTCTCGTTTTGTATTTTTTTGCTCTGTATGTGTGTGCAAAGGAAAATGAATAAGGTGTATTTATCGAATACACGTAAATACAGGTCATGTACAGCGGATGAATGTGGGAATAAATACGAGACAACATCAATTCAACTTAACAGCGATTACATTCAACAATTGAAAACGGAAATTTATTACCAACAACAACAGCAATATTGAATCACTTACAAAATCCTGTAAATCTCTAATAATCTTGTAATAAAACTCATTCGGGGAATGATCGATACGCCACTAAATAATTATTGATTGTTCCAAACCAAACCAAACCAAATCAAACCGTTTTTCATGTACGTATGATTAGATAAATTTGTTGTGAAATGGAGTATGATATCGAAATCACGATAAGTCCGAAAATGTGTGCGTTTGTATCGAATGCCGCATGTCAAAAATTGAAACGAATCATTTGCTCATTATTAGTTAGTCATTTTGATAGAATATGAACATGAATATGAACATTTTAAACTAAAGTGCATTCAGATTGAGTCGAGTGGAAATTTGAATATCAGCGCTTTGCATAAAAGGCTAAAAAACGATCGATTACTACAACCAAACAAACAAAAAAAAATTGGAGGGAAAACCACAAGCTAACGAACAACATTAAAATGATAGTTCATATATGAAAATCGTACCACATTAAAAATATCCATCACTTCGTCCCACCACTGTAAAATAGTGAAAGAAAGTGTGATGAGATGAAAAATGTCATTTTCTTCTGATTGAAATCTTCATCAAAAATCAAATTATGTATTTTCCTTTTTATATTTTCTTCTTCTTTTCTGCTCAATGCGAATGGATCTGATTGTGTATGTTGATGTATTAGACACAATTCACTCTGAAGTGACTACAATAATTTTTGATTGAAAATCCAATCAATTTTTACTTCCCAATCGATTTTGGAATATCCGAGTTGCATGTGGACAATATGTATGTGTATAGATACAAATGTAAAAGACCTACCTCTCTGCGTTCTTTGTCCGTAGCTGATGAATGGCCTGGAGTGAAATTTTCGATTTTTCCCGGTTGATTTTTGTATGAAACATTTGTTGATTTCATCGGATTTGGCAACGTACTGTACACGTTAGAAAGTGAGCGAGAGGAAGAGAAAAAAAGACTGGCATTAAAATGTGTCGCACAAGTGGCCACAACTGAAATGCGCTGAAAATGCAGAGACTTTGTATGTTAGAATAATTTATGCACTGTCCTCCATTTTTCTAGTAGATACACCATCGATAATAGTCAGCCGAATGTGGGCCACATTGTGGGCAAACGGAAGAGAAACACTCGTGCATACAACTTGTGTGGTTTAATAGTGTGCATTGCAACAAAGTACGTATATATACTGGGGGAGAATCAAATTGGAGCCGGTGTTGGTTTTTTAATTCTCCCGTTTATTCAGTTTTCCTCGTTAAGCGTGTTTTCAGCATTTTCCCATAATCATAAATACATATATATCGTTTAAGGCTCTTTTGGAAAGGAGCTCGCGGTAACATGTAAATTGCAATCTATAAACTGGCTATACGTACTTTTCGGATGATGGATTGCGTCGTCGGTCCAATGTTTTGTATTTGATTGAATAGTCCGAATTGTAATTTCGTTCCGGTTCCGATGCATATCCATTGGTTGATGTTTTGTATGGGTATTGTCCTGCTGCTGGTGTGTATGCGTATATGTGTATAAACATATATGTTCATTCCAAAGTTATGTGGAAGCCGACGTCCGAGCCGAGGAGTAGCGGTGCGAAAACAGACGTCCGGAAAGAAAATGAATGCACAAAAGAAGGAAGAAATAAAATAAAGAAGAAGAAGAAGAAGATGTAAAAAATGGAGAGAAAGACAACAACGAAAGAGAAGTTAACAACATTGCACAAATTCAAAGCGTACATTTATATGCACTGAACTGAAGTGAATGGACGGGCGGTCGAGAAAAAATATATATATATATATGTGAATGTGGATTTCGGAGCAGACTTTCCGAAAAATTTAAAATATCTTAATGGGTGCGAGTGCAAAAGCAAGCGAGATAGATAAATGTTTGAGTAAGGGAAAAATCAAAGAGGACGAGATATCTGGCACACAAATATTGTCCTTTCAATATGGATTTTGAATATGGATTTATATGTTAGACATACGGGTACAATTCAACACTGAACGGAGAAGGAGGCACATTAAAGTGATATACGCAAATGGGGAAATTCTTTTTTTTTTTGCTACTTGTAAATGCGTTTTTGTTCCGCTCTCACTCTGAACTTGAAGCTGTAATAAAAACAAATCATTTTCCTCGAATATGAATAATACACACTTACTCTCACGAGGCAGTACCATTATGTGTGGAGCGCCAGGAAGGTTAAGGCATATTACACTGAGTGTGTGTGTGTGAGAGAGAGAGAGAAAGCCGTAGACAATCAATTATACAGCTGTGCGGATTTTCGGGAAGCAGCACACTCTTCCCTTTTCAACAGCAAATAAAAGTATGCTCGCATCCAAACAATATACATATGAAAATAGGTTGAAAAGTTTTGAGGCAAAAAATCGTGCATTCACTTATAATATGAGCAAATATTATCAAAAAAAAGAGTAATCTAAAAAGCTTCAGTGGATTTTCCATTTCGTATCTGCAAACGGATTTTGCATCAGGTTTCTTTTGCTGTGTCTTGATTCGGTGACTTTTTTCCTGACTATTCTGTCTTGGCAAATAACAAATAAATCCCCCCTTTGTTGGGATCTGATTGTGATTAAGCACTTCTTTGGCTCTGCAAACATATCCAAACTGTTCTGTGGATATATTCGCTCAAATGAATAAACAAATATATGCAAGTCGTTGTCCTTACATTCACCATCACAACTTCTCTGAGCCCAACAACGTACCATGTGATGTAAACCAAAATGAACCACGTGAACGGGGAAATTATTTTTTTTTTGATCAAACGACATTCATTTAATCTGCACGTACGCATTTCCATTACGTAGAACAGTAATTGGTGACGCTAACGATTTTATGTAAAATTAAAATCCCGTAAAAGTTGCAACTTCGAATACAATTGGAAGGAGAAAAAAACTGCAATAAGCTGCAAAGTTTTTCCCCATTCAGAATAAAAGAAAAAAAAAACAGTAACCAACCACCTTTATGCGGCAATTATGCGGATTCTGATTTGTAACCGCTTTACTTCAGTACACACGAAATTCGAATGCAGAGACACGTACACAATATAAATATACATTGCAGTGGAATGCTATGAAGTGGAAGTCAAAAGATGATCGATCGTCGATGCAGTTAAAATTATGTTTTTCTTTTCCCTCTATAATGATGGTAGGCAAAAAAGAGAAGCACGAGCTTTTAAAATCAAATTTAAGCAACGTAGATGGGACCTAGCCTATTCGTTTCAATGTAATATGATGAATGAAAGGGAAACAAAATGTTTCGGTCCCATTCACGAGATTTATTTCAATAGCATTGTTTGATTTGTTTGTTGGTTACATTTCCAGTGGTGTTTTTTGCTTTTTCTCTCACTCTCTCACTCTTTATACCCTCATTATATTTTCGATGAGTTGTTTCAAACGACTCGTTTGATTAGCCTGCGTCGAGCTTTTTTCTTCTTATTTTTTTTTTTTTTTTTTGAAAAGATCAAGCGGAAAAGCACCGAACAAACGACATTTAGATACCTAACTTGAAGCATATTCAATTTAGAATGAGCTATTTACTCAAAAATGCTCAACAAGATACACACGACCGGTATACGCGCTAATTCCATTATCCATATTCGTTCATAATAAATTTCGTTCGCCGTTTGCTGCTTCGCTTCTTTTCTCTTTTTCTTCATCGTTTCGTTGCCGCGTGTCGTACACATTCAAGCACATTATTAAGACAAATTCAATTTTACAAAGAGAAATTATTTTCATTTTGCACGGAAAATACGTATGTGTGCTTGCGCGCAATGGAAACATTGTTCGACCCACAAAATATCATGAAAAAGTGAATATTTATAAAGCTTTTGGTTCGGCGCCTGTATGAAATGCTAATGCCATTATTTGTTTTCGGGTGAATAATTCTCGGGCGATAATGCTGAAGAGCAAATTTTATTTTGTGTATATACATGCACGCACGCTTTACATTTATTCGTTTTTTTCTTTCTTTTTGTCCCCATTTTACTCCGTCGATGTTGTCTTGTGTGACAAATTACAAAATATTAGCTTTCTTAAAGTGATATGAAAATGCTAATGCAATGCATTGAGCGGTTTGTTGCACGATTTGCTGACGGATGCAAATGAAATTAGTTTGGAATTAAATGAGTGTAAGCAGAAAAGCAACATTTGACATGATTTTCCATGTTTATATGATATTGACTCAAGCAAACCGAATGGAAAAAGCGAACGAAGGAGCGCCACACGCGCGTCTTCCTTCCGAAAAAAAAAAGTTTGTTGTCGGTACACAAACATCTGTATGAATAGATTTTCATATTATGCGCACACATTTCTGTCTCATGTCATTTTGATTCAACGGGACAGTTTAGTTCATGCAATGAATGTGTTCAAATTCGGATGCGAATGCACATTGAACATGTTCACATTTTTTTCGTGTGTATGTGTGTGTATAGCACCAAAAATGTATGAAAAAGATCGTGGTGAATGTATTCACCAGAATGCAAAAGAAAATGATATAGTGCTTTGATTATGAGCGCTTTAGCATAACTATGAGCGCAAAAAACTAATGCCATATTTAAAAATAGAGAGAAAAAAATACAAAAGTTGATTATCACCTCGACGAGTTTTGTAGCGGACTGTCACATAACCATCTGAAAAAATAGAAAAAGCAAACAAAAAAAAACATGGGGAAATGGGTTAGGTTTGTTCAGTTTTCTTTTGGAATATGTTTTTGTTTTAAATGATTTTAAGCCACCAATGGATATCAAAGTTGTTCATCTAAATGGACACCAAACAAATGAAAAATAGGAATGGAATACAAGCTACTAGAGTCTGAACTGGTACACAAAAACCATAGACGATTACACTTGTGGAACAAATACAGAAAATAAATATTAAAAGCACAATAAACAACGGCAATTTGAATCTGGAAACATTCAAGTTTTAACAAGCTTCGATCGCCACAATGAGATGCCATTTTGTAATTCTTTGCATTTTTGTTGCCACGTTTCAAAACCTATTCGTTTGCTGGTGTTTTGTGTTTGAGGCTCGTGCAACGCCGAACCACCAAATTGGGAACATTTTCGCTTGGAGTAGTTCTTTGTTTGGGGGGGGGGGGGGGCCATTGAATCAAGATACGGAATAAAAGGAAATGTATTTTGTATGCAAATTACTCACCGCCATCGCTAACTTTATGAATTGTGTTGTACATTTTTTTGTACCATTCGTGTTGACTGTCGTTCGCCTCCTGCAACAAAACAACATTTATGCGTGTTCTTTGAAAGTGTGCTCTCATTCATTGTGCTTTTCACTTGGCACTTGTAGTTAGTATATATAGTTTAACGATTAAATTGCACATTCAAAGTAGGAAAGAAAAAAGGAAACACAACAGAACTTTGACACTTAGCGAAAAAAAAAGAAGAAGACATTGTGTGAGTAGAAAGTAAAAATAATGGATTTTTTTGCCGATCACCATTTGCACTGTTCACAAGTAATTGATAGTCTTACCGATCTGGATGTCACTTCAACAGGCTCACCGGTTCGTCCATCAGATGCCATTTTTCTTTGTCGCTCGTTTTCCAAATTTTGTCGCTGTGTTACGTACTCGTTATGGGAGTAGCCTGCAAACGAATCCGCATCGAATCGATGCAGAGTATACGGGAGACAGAGAGACACAGAGAGGGAAAAAAAAGAGCAGTCGATTTATATTTTGTACTGTTTTGTTTTCTTTTCGATATCAATAATGTGAAAAGATCGTTGTGATGTGAACACACGCACTTGCATCATTTATTTGCCGAACACCAGCTGGATAATAAGATCGAATTTTCGAATGGTCGGCACCGTGTTCCGATGTTGAATGTTCTGCAATTAGATTCAAGCGATTATTTATGGCATTCGTTTCAGTCGACCGGCTGTGCAATCGGTCACATTCTTTCTCTTTCTCTCTCCAATTCTCACATTCTCAAACAACATACCTTTATATTTTGGTGATGTTGGTGGTGGTTGCACGATGATAGTTGGTTGTATCAAACTCGGTGTACTACCTGAGTGCATCTGCTGTGACTGAACATTTTGACAAAGGATTGTGATTAGAGTGACGTTTGTTTTTCTTTCTCTAACAGGAAATTACCAGGTTTTTTCGTGGAGTAATGGGCGATTCAAATTTGACTGAACGAATGTCACGACGTTCGGCTACTGGTGTACTGGGTGTTGAGTGTACAAGTGATGGTTCCGATTTAAATTGGCCGCCTTCGTTTGGAAATGCTCGTCTTATAGGCTGTGGTGTACCGCTTGGTGACCAGATTCCTATTGTGTAACAGCAATGACAACAAAAAATTCTATTAATTCAATTGTATCCAACGAATAAAATTGGTTTTTATGAGAGCGAGCATGCTATCGATAATTACACGGGAGATTATGAGTAATAGAAGCTTAAAATGTGGTTAATCCTTCATGAATGGACTTATAAACACGAATGAGCTTCATCCGAATAAAATGATACAATAATATTTCATGAAAAAAAATCAACTTTACAAAAACACGCCTTACAAATTGTAACTATTTATACAGATTCATATAAACAACACGGATATTATTGAGTAGTGGGTACGTGATGAAATATTAAGCAATAAATATAGAAGCAAAAAAATGAATGATATGATTTGCAAAAATAAAATTCAGTTTATTTTCGGAATTAAGTATTTAGTTTAGTCTCCACATCGTATTTCTGTATTTGTTCGTGTGTGCTCAAACTGATTAATTCGAGAATGACAAAAAAATCGTGTTCTACGTCAGATATCGTTTTTTTTTGTCTTCAATCGATTCCCATCAAAATTTCGGCATCACAAAACAAACACATGTTAACTTCAAAAATCAACAAACATTTGAGGACTAAAAATAACAGCGACCAACTCACACGCAATGACTTAGGAAAAAAAAGCATCAAAAGATCAATCAAATAAACGGAAACTCTGCAATGAACATAAAGGACACTGGCAGCTAGGTTATACTGGTATCACATCGAAGTTTAAGGTTTTACCGGTTGGACCTTCAACCGATACATATCGAATGCGATAACCTGTCTCTAGGGTGTCGTCATTGAGAATTCCATGTGTATGTGGGTGTGTGTGTGTCTATCTCTCTCCGTTTTGATTTTGAACGTTACAAATATATTTATATACCTCGATAAATATGTTCATTTGCTTAGTACTAAATGTTAATGAAATCACAAGTTGATTAAACTGAACAGATAAATAGGTGATGTGTGTATGTTCAATGTCATAGATTCCAAAAGGACATCTAAACCCACTAGTTCGTAAGACCGCCTTTAGACGGGCAATAGAAAAAAGGCTAAATACCGTAAACGATACGTCAGATCACAATGTTTACAACTACATTTTTATCCGTAAACGTGTCTTCTTCATCTTTGTCTCTTTCACTTTTGGTCAAGCGGTTCATTAGTTATCAACAAGAATTTGCGCGAAAAACAAAATTTGACAGAATTAATTATTTCCTTTCAAAATTAGACACATTTTTGACACTTTAAAACAATGGTTTTGATTGTTCTCGGATATTTGTCAATAGCATTTTTCTAGTAAACTATGAGGAATTTAGCATTTTAATTATTTTTTTCGTAATCTACGCCCCAAAATCAGCTCAAAGTGAGCTCCCCAGCTCTGTAAAAAAAATGACGCAGTAGAGGGTTAAGGTATTTTGGAAATAAAGTCGAATCGTTCCATGGTTCATACAATGAATTACATAAATATCGATGGAATAGAGGGCGCCATTGTTTCAACATCCAGCTCGAACAAATAGAAAATCGAATAAATCGACGGAGCAATAAAGAGGAAAATTCCTTGTGTACGTAAAATGCTCATTGGGTTAATACTCGAGTAGATTGCATAGCATCTGGTTTTCATTCATGCACAAATATACAAACACATATATCATGTGAAAATTAAATTAACAGTCAATAGAGCAACTGTGTGCGATGGCACACATTCTAATGATCTGTTTGCAATAAAATCAGTCGATTCAAATGTTTCTCTCAATCACGATGATATTATTCAAAGTGTGTACGATGGATTGTTGTGTTGAAAACATTACTTCACATATTGACAAATAATCAAAATGTCTTGAAGAAGATTGTTTGATTGCATTCCGGCAAAACCGAAATCGATATGGTCCGGTCCGGTCGTCGTCATCATCATCATCATCATCATCATCATCGTTGGTTGTCGATATTATATGTATACATTGGTTGTGTGCCAATAATTCGGAATGTGCACGCTCAATATCACCGGACAATGGATTAACATATGGGCGAATTGTTCATAATTTTAGATATATTTGTTGTTTGTGGAATGGTTGGTTACAGCCGTTGCGAGCAACAATCGCATCTCGGCATGCGGTCAAGCCGTTACTCAGTTTCGTGTACTCGGTGTGTGTGCTTATGTCAAATCAATACGATAAATATTTGATCGGCCAATGTAAATTGCAACGATGAATTGCGTCGATATTCCGAATATTTCTGTTTCGATTCAAATAGTCTCTATATCGTGATTAAATTGAAAATAATGTCGAATTTTCATCGACAATGCACACACATTTCACAAAATAACCAGGCAAATTTAAGAATTGAACACTATTTTATAAATAGATTGTTTCTTTGAATAACATTCCACAACCATCGTTTTGGTTGTATGTTGTTCTTTTCCCTCTCTCTAGCTCTCCCAGTGTGTAACGTGTGCAAATGTGCGCACAAAAATGAGTTTTTGTTGATCAGTTAATTGTAGAACAATCGAATTGAATTTATCTATTGAATTTCGTGTACGGTTGATGGAAGTGGAAAATGAAATAAAATAGTGGCGCAGTCATATCCGATAGCCGGAAACAACGCATCAATAACTTTTTCGATGAATCGGAAATTCTCTGCATATAAATAAAATACAAAACGTCTGGATATGCAGAAATAAAATACTAAAAACAAACGAAAAAAAGAACAAACACACACACACACACACACACACACAAATAGCAAGAGAATACAGCGGAAAAAAATCAAGTCGCACACAACGAGGGTAATTCCGAACACGTTTAATGATGCAAATAAATTTCGTATTTAAAATATTTGATCAAATTTTCGTTGTGCTGTATGTGTTTGTGTGTTTTTGTTTTTGTTGTATTTGCTCCACAATTCAATAGAAAATAATTAGCGTATGAACATCCGCTCATTTTGCCTTGTCAAACAAATATTGCATACATGAGCATTGTTTGGCATGTCAAAATGTTCAGCATATTGTATGTACCCTCCTCAATTTTTTAATTTCTGTTCAGATTTTTCGAATGAAATGATTGCACATTTAAGCATAAAAGCATATTTTCAGTCAAACCACCATCCTCTTGTGAATTCATTGAAATTCACAAATTTCCGATTAAAAATACATCGAATTGTTTTTAATGGATGTTTTCAATTCGATTAATTATGATGGACGTGATTAACAACAACGTTAAGGTCACTAAGACCAATTGTTTAATACTCTATCGCTTCAGTTTTTTTTTCTATGGATATTTTAAATCACTCCTAGTTCACAACATTCATTACAAATGCGGTGTCGATAATCATATTAACGATAACAATCAATCTGCAAATATAATTAGATATTGAACAGTACGGCATACAATTTTTTTCATCATCATCATCTATCATTTGATTTCGGTTGGTCTTTTCATTAAATTGATGTGCCTTTTTTCTACTCTCCCACAAATATGTGGCAAATGAAATTAATTGCTCTCTTTTTTTCCAGTTCATTAAATCAATTTTGCTTAGAACTGATGATTTTGGTTGATGCCGCGATAATTTGTGAATGTCAATTGGATCAACACAACAATTTCAATCGAAATTGGTCTATACACAAATCCAATGCCAAATTCGATGTGGACATGCAAATCAAATGGAAAAAAAATCGACACCATCAACCAGCATAAATAAATCAAATGCGATTGGATGAAACGCATACACACCCAAAAGGCAGAGAGTGAGAGCGTGAATAATGTCAATCAATTTCGATAATTTATGTGAGTTAAATCACTTCCTTTATAATCATTCAGCAATGGTTTCATTCGCTACTCGCATTTTTTTCTCGTCCATATACAAAGTATTACTTGCTCCCGTTTGGTGCGCACAATGATTGATTATAAAGTTATCCAATTAGTTTTCAATGATTCGATTGCCCTCTGCAATCAATCAATCAGCATTTTCAGCAGATAAGAATGCATCCAATGTAAATTAGATTTCATTTGATCGAATTATAAAATAAAGTTAATTCGTGTGTCAACTGAATGGGGAAAATGGTGCTGCCTCGCCAAACGGAAATCGATTATTTTCAATTGTATATTCGGACCATAGAGCGAGAATAGTATTTTCGTTACGTTAAACTCACTGTGAATTAGTTTAAATTCATTTAAACAATTCCATTTCCTTTGTACAAATTGCTCCCTCTCGCGCTTGGGGTCATATCAACCCGCTTTTTTACCCGCCGTGCTGTTGTGATTGTGATTAATATTCAAATTGGTCGATTAATTTTTATCCTCACACAATCGACTTTTTTGACCTGAAACATTTTCACTATTTTCAACGAATTTAAATGGTTCCATGCAGCTGTCAATGATTTTGACTGTGATTCCGATAATTCTAGCGTAACACATTATTGTATTTGTTTCTAGACACCAGAGAAAAACGGGATACGCAAAACAAAACGATGCAAAGAGGATTATGCATTTCGAATGTCTGATTTGTTGTAGGATTTATTTTTCTGTTTGCGTAACATTATCAGATTTATTTAGTATGTCTGCATTTGAAATAGCGAAATGGAAAAATAATGATCAGTCGACATATAAAAGTGCGCAATGAGCATCAGTTTTAATTGTTTGAATTGTTTGCTCAGGGCGGCAATACTGCATTTGCTCTGTGCTGATGACATATTTTCTCATATTCCGTTTAATTTCCTTTTTTTTTTCAATTAAAAACTTACTCAACTATTTACTAATTTATTATTATTATCATCATCATCAGCAACAGCAGGAGGTGGAAGAGAGAAAATGCCATCACACAGATGCGTTTCGTGTTCGATGACATTGTTAGGCATTATGTTTTTGTCTAGCATTTTACCATATGCACTGGTCATATCATATATTCTCCCATTCCATCTGCTGAATCCAAATTATGTTAAAGTGCTTTAAACCACAACTTTGGTGAATTGCATCGTGTGCATAGCATTGTAGATGGTGCACACACACACACACTC